TACATATTTAGTCCATACATATCAAATATTACTAATTTAGTCTCAATTATTATATTCATTTACACGAATGGTCCTTTGTTTACATTTCCGTTAAGAACGTGGATAAAATTGTAAATTCACACTTCTTTCTCTGCTCAATTAAGCTTCCTCCCTCCCCTCGCACTCCTTTCCTAAACCCGTCGCTGAGTTTGAAGCTTTGAACCCAAAAACGAAATCATCACTCTTTTCTCAATTGTTTGTCTAACTGGTGGAACCCGAATTCGAAACCAGTTACCTTCATGAATGAGTTTTAATATTTATTTTCTTTGCAATTTCTTGAGACTAATTACCGATAAAACTCATTCATAAAGCTTATTGATTTTAATTTTAAGTTCCACCAGGAAGACTAATAATTGAGATATGAATGATCATTTCAGTTTTGGATTTAGAGCTTCAAACTCAGCGACGAGTTTGGGAAAGAGTACGAGAGGAGGCCGGGAGGAAGCTTAATTGAGAAGAGAGAAAAGTATGAAAATACAGTGTTATCCATGTTCTTAACAAAAACTTTAACAAAGGATCATTCATGAAAAATGATACAATAATTGGGGACTAAATTATAAATATTTAATGTATATGGACTAAATATGTAAAACGACCTATAACTGAGGACCTTTTATGAAATTTACTCTGTTTTTAGGGACCGAGGGAGTATGTACTTTGTAACATTTTCCTTAGATTATTTAAAATTTATGTAAATAAAATTCCCCATTTTCCTTAGATTATTTAAGTAAACTAGTATTTTGACCTGTTCCATGCACGGGATCGAAAGAAATTTATGTCAATTCGGAATTTATTTTAATGAAAATTTTATTTTTCAGAATAAAGTAAATATATTGCTCACATGATCTTTAATACAACAAATGAAAAAAGCCAAAGTAAAATAAATAATATTTGAGGAACAGAATGTAGAGTTAACAATGTTTATTTTAATACCAAATTTTCTGAAAGATTTCAGGGTATACAAAATTTTTGGTATGATTGCAAGGGTTTCTATTGTCATCTAGAACTAATATTTTTAATCCGGTCTTTGTCTTCACTCGTGAAACAACAAAATATAGTTGACCATGTGTGAACACTGACTTGGTTAAAAATAATCCCACAAATGACAATATTTGACATTGACTTTTGTTGATTGTTATAGCAAAACATGAGGTGATCGAGAATTATCTTCTTTGGAACTTCAAGGGTAGCCCTAGATCAGATGGTACCAAATTCATTCTAGGGATGTAAACTTTTTCTCCGACTCGATTTCCCGAAACCACAATTGCACCGATAACATTATTTCGCAGCTCTTGAACGAATAATTTTGTCCCATTATACAATCCAGATGTTTGGTCAATGTTCCTCAATAGCATAATCGGTACCCCTTTTTCAAGACTATTTTGTGGTTTGGGATTCCCAAACATTTGATTTCGTCAAAAACTCAACTGTTATCCAATCGCCATCAACACCTACATCTGCTTCTGCTTGGCACGAAAAATCAGAACTCAAGTACTCCTTTTCATCACCAGGAATGAGAGACAAAACAAATTCATTTTCAACTACTTCGAGAGTTGGTGCCAATAGTGCTTTATCCTCATAAAAGAATAATTTTTCATATTTTCAAACATAAGTAATTTCCCAATATAATACTTAAACTTTTTCAAATTTTTCATTTTTCATTTTTCAAATTTTCCATTTTTCATTTTTCAAACTTTTTCCCAATATAATTTTTCAATTTTTTTATTTTTCATATCTGCACTAAATAACACTAAAACAAAAGTCATTTCCCAAAATAAGATTTAAACTTTTTATCCCTTAAATAACACTTAATAATGTCTAGAAGGAGAAATAATATCCTGTGACGGTGAACATTTGTCTAAATAATGACTAATGGATAATGACTAAAAGTGCTACATTAGGAAATAAAAAACATATGTTGCTATTTAGGGAAAGTCATTATGTTTTAGTGTTATTTAGGTAAATTTCTCTGACTATGAATATATATATGGAGTATCAATTATTTCAGTTGAACACAGCTTAGTTGCCATTTTGATAAATGAATTACGTGTTAGATATAAGTAAATTTTCCAATTTAAAAATTATATTTGAACTTTGAATTATTTACTTTGATCATTCCGTATCAATGCCTATTTTTTTTCCTCGCATGCATGTCATTTTGTTTTAAAATATGTACTCACATTTTTTTATATTCACAAAATTGCAAAGTTTTGAATTTTAATTAAAAGATTTTAAATACGAATATGTTTTTACTCAACTTTGTTAATATTCGTCCATTCAATTGTTTAAAATTTTCAATATGTATAAATATTTTTTTCATAAAAAATATAGAAAAATAAAATTAAAGAGTCATGGTTAGACATCATTTTAATTCTATTGATATAAATATAAAATTGATAAAAAAATAATCATTGAGCTATATGCATACCTAGATAAATCAACAATTATACATTTTAATTATCCATGATTTCTATGCAACCTATCAACAACGTTTAATTTTTTTACGGATGCATATTATAATTGATAAAATAACATGACTATAAAATAACATGACTAAACATATATTTTAATCTTTTCTTGGAGTGTTCATTTTCACATGGAAAATTTGTTAAATCCTTCTAAAATTGACATCTAATATTAAATTTTGTATAAAACTTTTTTTATTTAACATAAATTAATTTATCTATACTAACGATTTATATATGAAGATAAGAAAATTTTTCAATGCTCATTAAAAAGCAACCATATAAATTTTAAATACAAAAATTCTGGTCACTAACATATCCCACTTCATTTTGTTATTTTAAATAGTTCAAAAATGGTATGCATCAAATTACCTTAAAACAATAAAACATAATTAAATGTATTAAGATAAAACAATATTTAAAGTCCGTACCTTTTCTATTTTTTTTGTTGAAGTATTCATTTTCTCATTTCTCTTGCATCTCTAGCTGATCTCGTCCATGTATCGTCAACTTGATTTTCCATAGCCCCAATTGAAATTGAAAAATAGGATATATGCTCCTACCACCCATCCTTTTAAAAACAAAAAACTGAATTTGAATTAACGATTCTCCGCTTATTTATTGCATAATTAATTCTGAATGCCTATGTATTGAAATGGAAAATGAAAATGGGTGATGGATGTCACATTTCAACTCATTATATATCTCTTTTTATAATAGGATTTTGACCCAAGTATATAAGAGTTTCCATAAATTTGGATATAAAAGTGAGTAATTTAACTCATTGCCAGTTAAATATATAAGTAAGGAATTCAA